AGGAGCCAGAAATGTTCATTTCTAATTTCAAAATTAAGTTCGATTTGTAGGCTACTCGCCCGGTTTTCTTGAAAATTTGGAATTTTTTTTTCCACATACATCCATCATCCACCAGTATTAGGTAGGCTGAAAATGCTAGACAAAGCAATAGACAAAGAAGACGAAGTAAAAAGTTGAGAGATTCTAATAGTTGAAATGGGTGGTTGTTTTAGACTAAAGGGGAGAATCAAGGACTAACTATAGGGTCTCTTGTGAGTACTGTCAGTTAGTGCCTTGCCTTCTTTTTATATTGAATACACTCACTTCTAACGGTAGAATCCCTCAACTTCCCCTTTGTCTTCCTTGTTTATCGTTTTGTCATGAAATATCACTGAAATTTCAATTAGCGTAAGCTTGTACCACCTCAAAAGAATGTGAAGAATGTCAATAGTTAAAACGTAAATCAGTTTCAATAATCAGAAAATTTCTAGAGAAAGTATTCATAACTCTCCCTAAAAATGAACATTTTATCATGGGAAATTTGGCAACTCTCGAAGGTTTACACGGCGTTTTTCCCTAGCACGGTAGAACAGCTCCACCCTTTTACAGCTAATAAATCTATGGTGAATTTAAAGTTGAATTCTGGCATTGCTGCTGCTGCCTGTATTCTTTCCTTGTTCCCCTCCCACAATAGATTCTGTTTATCCAGCGTGTATTGTACATTAGCCGTATTTGGTGTATGTGATTCACCTGTTCTCATAGGTGTTGCTTGCTATTTTGTGTCTAGAGCCTGTGCCAAATGTACGTGGAGGTAAAATTTGAACATGCCAATGATTCTGGTTTTTAGATTAGTATGTCTCCATGTTTTTTTTTGTGGTTTGGATTATTGTAGTCACTACGGAGAGTATTTTTGCTCATTCCATTTTTTGTAAATACTCGTGGATTGGTCTTGTGTATATAACTCACTGATAAACCAACTAATGTTGCATGACTCTGAATTATAAAACGCTTGTCATTCCAAGGAAATTATTGTAAGTATGTCGAAATCCTGAATCGCCCAAGTCGCACTCATCTTTAATCATTCAGGTTTCAAGTACCCTTTCTCGATGTAGTCGTATTCCTATTACTTCTAAATGGACTGATACTCAATGGATCAAAGTGTAAAATTTTAATCAACTCAATCATAAAGCGACTCAAGGACAGTATTAAATATGAAGTATCTCAAACCTCTTCTCTTGTCAGAATTTAAAGCAAAGCACAAATAAAAACATTAAAAATGAACATCCGGATTCGGAGGTAATAAATATTTAGTATTTCGAAACAAACTTTTATGTTGTCTGAGAAATTTCAAGTGACTTTTATAATTATTAATATTGAATCCTATTGTTGTTAGTTCAGCACTAGATTTGGACTGCATTATGCGAAATAGAACCACTACTTCAGGCTCACTTTTAAAAACGATGTTGGCACCATTTGTTTCCCCACACTGTAAGGTGCTTCCGTAGAATGATCTGAAAATAGTTGTTTCTAATCTAATGCAGAATGTAGTCTAGTTACCAAGCATAGGAAAAGGCTAATTTCCCAATTATTAGCAAAATTTGGAAATTTTTTATGTGCCCATCTTTTTTTACAAAAAATTATCATGTGACAAGGCGTGAATGATCGACTATCGATACTTCCCCATTTGAAGCTATGGTAAAGGATCGATTATTAAGGTGTCCGCTGCCAACACCCTGTTTATCGATCCTTTTCCATAGGTTTTAATGGCAAATCAATCGATATATCGCAAAGTACGCCACGCCGCTGATCATGTAGTAACATACACACCATAACGTACTGTCCACTGGTCCACTGCAGAGTCACCGAAGAGTACAACACCTCATTTTTATGTTGATCTGTTTGTATATTATCTTTTCACCAACCCTGTGTCCATTTTCTTGAGGCGCTTTGATCTTGATTCCGGTTGAATTCTCTCATAAATTGACTCCCCCTATTTATCATTGCATTCCTTCCTCACACTATTCGCTCATTTCAGCTGGTCCGGTCCCTCTCTACCAACAATATCGCTCCCATTTTCATGGATTTATTTTTCATTTTTTACTTATTCATTTCTGCTCCTAATTCTTTATTTTTTTCAGCTTCTAATCATGTACTATTGTTTTATCATTGCCACTGTCCTGATATGATTTTGTATTTTTTTCTTTTGATTATTGTAATTGAGAGCTTGTATGAAATGGCTTTCTTGAAAATGCATTTGTGAGGATAATATTGTTGTTTCAGTATTATTTCAACTCACATTGCGTATTCACTTCACACACCGTTCCTCAGATTATCAGTAGGTTGAAGGAGAGTGAACTCGGTGGGAATTTTAAAAATCGGCAATCTCAGAAAGTAAATGAACAAAATGGATGAACCTTAATATTAGCTAAATGCGTATCTCGATTGGTATGTTTCAAAATCAGTGCTGTTTTGTCATTGTAAAGAGAGAAATTATGAAGGTTCTCATTCACAATTTTTATAAAAATTGATGGGTAAATGCGTAACTCAATTGCAATGTTTTAAAATCTTTAATTATTTTTATTTTCTTCAAAGAGAACTAATCAAAATTATTTCCTTATAATCCTGTATGATCTCTTTAGGATAAATGAAGACAATTCACAGATTATTTTAAAAGAAACTGTTGCTTCCTAATCCTCTAAAATAATAAAACACTAAGGGAGATTTACAACGTTGCAATCTGAGCTGTACTTTTTTTCTTTTTTTTTACTTTAACCATCCATCTATTGTCCAGTACAAAAAAAATGTAGTAGAAGTTCGAATAAATAATCTTTTCTTTTAATAACATCAAATGTAACAATAAATCTGCAATATTGACGCAAATCGAGATACTTGTTTAGCGACTCTCACCATTGATATATTTCAGAAGCAAATCACACTTTTTTGTATGGATTTGAATTATCAAAATCTTTTGATTTTATTTTATTCCCGAAATTTAGAAGTGTCCAGCAGGATTTGATATCAAGACAGAAAGTAGCCAAACACTCCCTCATGTAAATAAGAAATTTTGTTGTCGCGGTTTTTTTTTTTTAAAAAAAGAAGGGGGAAAAAGCTGCTTTCACTCAGTTGGGCCTAGGAGCTTAAAATAGCTATTCACCCTTTCTCAATCTTCATTTGGATAAGTTAGTGAAAGAGTCTCAGCTACATTTTTGTGTTTCAAAATCTCATCTCCTACTTTAAATTTTTGGAAGGAAACCAACCAAAATTTTTGCTTCAACTTTTTTAGTAATGACCTTCGTATGGGCAAGGCAATTGCATCAATTTTCAAGTCTGGATGTTGTTTGGTTTCTTTTCATTAAATTGAAGATTACGTTTTGATCACTGTAATGCAGGTGTGACTATCTTGCTTAACTCAATCCATCACAGTATCTCCAATCAAAATCTCAGGGTTCATTTAGGGCATGTATCATTGCGTAACCTGCCTGCTCGGAAACAGTAGTGTTTGAAATATAACTGTCTTTACATTCGTAGGTAATTTTGTCTGGTCCGCAGTAGTGCACACATTTCAAAATAACACCACATTCAGTGGGAGTTTGAAATCGTATGCAGGCATCAGAAATGATTTCTTTTTCCTTTCAACTTTCTTCACAGAAAGTAATCGGCACTTTGAAGCTATGCTATCTAATACAAGATCATCCATTCGCAGAGCACTAACAATACAGGGTAGTAACTCTCAGCTGGGTGACTGATGTTACTGGGTAGCATGTGTTTTAAAATCTAGTAATGAACCTAGCTAATCAATCACTTAATATTGGTTGGAAAACTGATTGCACTCTGTGAATATTTTAATAATTGGTTGTAGTATTATCATGTATCATTTTTCCTTTTACTTTTCATTTTGACTGTACTTTTTTTAGAATTGTTTTATCTTGGAGAAAACCCAGGCGTTTGGTTTATCTTGTATACATTGAATATTTTAAAGGGAGAATTAGAATCGCTCTAGTAAGTTGGTAGGAGTGTGCTTGCTACTACCCCTTTGTTGGTCTTAATCATTTACCAATTTTTGTTGGTGTCATGAAGATATTCCTGTAGGTAGGCGGTCATGTTAAAGTATAAAGCAAGATAACTATGACAAGAAAAACCTAATTTTAGGGAAATTATTTTTCGCAATCAACTCACATTTTCACTTGATAGGAGAGTTCTTAAAAAGTGAGGGAAAAGCTAAGAAAATCTATTTTTTTTTGACAACCTAATGCCAGTTGGCACACAAACTTTCTCTGTGCTCTTCGGAATACCATTCGTCAGCCTTCATTTGGTAGAAAATAAATTTTTGTGATCAGATGTATATTATTTTGGGTCATTTTTGACAGTTTTCCTCTTCAGTAATTGTATTCGATCAGGATGATCCCCTCCGAATCGGTAAGACATTTGGGACCAATGAAGGAGAAGTGCAAGAAATGTAATCGAACAATATGATTCTTTTGAAATGAGGACGGTCAAAGTGCAAAACCACGTATCTCCATTGAGATGTTTCAAAATTCTGCTCCTATTCTACTTTTTCAAAAAAAGAAGACACCGTTTTTATAGCTTGGAATTTATACAGAATAATGTGCTGACAGAAAAGAAAAATCATGGAAAAATTGAGAAATTACGTTGCCTAGTTTTCCAAAGGAAAAATAATGTATGACAGAAAGTCTGCAACATTGCAAATGGAGGTGTGTGGTTTTGCAATTTGACCATCAATAGTACCATCAGCAGTGATAATATTAAAATTGAAAACACATTGTAAACTAGAGGAACAAGATCAGTGATGAAACTTATCAATGAGTATTGGCGATTCCAATATCAAGGCATCCTGCCTTGTCTAGGGTCGATCGTTTACAGTGGATTTAAGGAGAGAAAAAAATGTTATCAACCCATAATAATGCCGATTATCAAGAGATTTATCCTCTTTCTATCGGGAAATTTTTCATGCTCGAAATCTCCCGGTATTAATCCTCTGGTTTTTTCGTCATCTTTTCTAGGTCGCTTGCGACGCATGGGACACTTCTCTCGCACTTACACTGCTGGATGGATCACTTCCCGACGCTGAATTCCAGTTTTCTTTTCTACTTTTTACGCAATTGCCGCTTCATGAATCAAGTTTATCATATTATTGTCCACGTTTCATTTCGATGTCTACCTATAATTATTCAAAGTCAGCTATACATTAAAGGGCCCCTACGCCCTGACTAAGGCTTTTCGTTGTAAGTGCAATCAAGTATAATTTATTGTAAATATTTGTAATATTCAATTTTTGAGAACAATAAAATGCATAAACATTTTGTAACAATTATAATTTATTTTCATCAAGTTTCCTGTCTTTCTGGTGGAGTTGATAGAATTTTTACGTTTTACTCTATACCATGGAAAAGTTGCAGAAATAAGCAAATGGCATTAACCAGAACTGCCTTTATTTCTTTGAATGCTGCTCATTTCGCTTTCATGTTTTACTTTTTTCCAAGAAATGACGGACCAATCTACTTTGAAATTTCTACAACCTAAAACTTCTTCATCTAGACTAAGGTCTACTGTAATGAAATTCCGTAAACAAATAACTACTTGTCAGCAAGACTATAATTGATTTTCCTCATACGCCCTTTTTCACCAAAGGTGAAATCTATGAGAGCAGCCATCAAAGTAATTTCATAACGCAGTCTCATCCATGGTCAGTTCAAGAATGGATGCTCCGTTATTATCTACAACAGCATTTCTTAAACAGTGCATCTTGCCTGTTCTTTTAACTCATGATGATACAGTATACCTACCTCAGATTATCCGAACTCTGGTCTATCCGAACTGATTTTTGGGAGGACAATTTTTTTTCTTTACGCGTTTTCACTTAGCCGTCAGAACAAGACCATTTTCACAACCCCTTTCAACGTTCCACTTGTTTGTTTTCCCAACACAGACGTACTCGGATTTCCCACGTTACACCTGGCGGTTGCTCTATCTCTCAGCGGACTCCTTTCGCCTTAAAGTTAATGAATATTAATGGCCTCCGGATTATCCGAAATTTTCGTTATCCGAACCGGCCGACCGCAACATTAGTTCGGATAAACCGAGGTCTAGTGTACTTTTAATTTTGAATGAATCTCACCCAGAGATAGAATAAATTCGAAGTGGAAGTCAGTGCTGCGTACTAGTTGACCTGACTTCGATCTTCAAATCCGTCCAAAAGGTTTTCCTTCATTTTTTTCTCACTCCCACTCTCCACGAAAAAAAAACGTTGGGGGCTATCCCCTAAAATTGTGGCACTACCCCAATTTGTTGGATGATATACAGGCATTTCCATTATACTGTGGTAGTACCACAATATATGGGTCAGTAACCTAATTTATTGGGGTACTACCACAATTAATTGGAAATGCCTATATAACCCAACAACCCCATTCTCTTTTTTTTCTGTATCTCTCCCCTCTTTTAAAAAAAAAAAATACCCCCTAGATATTGGAAACTTTGAATTCTGAATTTCTTTTCACACAATTCGATAAGTCTCTTTCTTCAAAAAAATCGGTCTCTAGAAACTTGGATCATTCTTCCCAAAAAAAAAGGTCACAAAATATTCAAAGAATTTCAGAAGGTTCGTTGATTCACGAATGACGTTTCCAATGCTCAATTGCTCATGCTGGGCGTTGGATGATGTTCTCCCAGTAAGGTGTAAAGTCTCCGAATACGTACTTCAAATAAATTTTTTTAAATTATAAGGGTTCGAAAAAATGAATGATCATTTAAGTATTCCTTTGTAACCACCAGTCCTTTTCTTTAATTAGTGTCCCAGTTTAATTTTTGTTGCCATCTTGAAGTTTTGTGACGTCAGGCGGGTACCACTTTTGCCAGGCGACTACCGAATCTGTAGCGCGCATTTCAAATCTTTGCCCGCTCTCATCAAGATGAGGATGCGAATATTATTGCAAATTTAAACAAAATCTGTTAATAGGTAGTAAATTAAGGCTGAGACTCATTAAAGTTGCGCTGACCACCGAGCGCTTCTCTGATACCTACGTATTAGAGCTTTCCCGCTTGTTTGTATTCGTGTGAAAACACTCCAGGTCCGATGTGGACGTATTTATACGAAAGGGAACTAAGCGCCAAATTTCCAAATTTCAGTTTTTAACGGATCTGGATTCTCCATGTAATAGGCTGCTCTCACACGTAAATATGCCCCCAAAATACTAATTTCATCCCCTGGAATCAGCCCCTGAAAAATCGCAAAACAGAGAATCAGCGATTACGAATAAAATCAAAAGGAACTATATGTAATTCCCTTTGATTTAATGCGCTAACCCGGATTCCGAATTAAATCAAAAGGCGCTATCTCCACTTGATTGACGCGCGCGCGGCG